TGTGCTTGTTTTCGGGCACGCAGAAATTACGAATCCAGCAAAATTTGAATGGTGATTCTAGCATAATTTGCTGATTTTCGTTGTTTTTGATTTTAACCACAGCTTTCCGTAACAAGCCCTCCTGGGTAAGGTAAAGGTATCCCGTTTTGATAAAGGTTGCCGTTGCCGGATATTGCCGATTAACGTTCCGGTTTTGATAAGAAGATTTTCATTCTCGTTTTGATGCCTTATTGAATTTAAAGATACAAACCTTAGCGCCTGTATATTTTGAATTTGATTTTGGAGCTGGACTGTCTTGTTACCGGCCGGCAGGCCAGTTTTTAGACAGCCCCTAGTGGCTGTCTCTACCCGACGGTAAAAGTTTCCCGTTTTGATAAATGCTACCGGTTCTCGTTTTCTAGTTTTGATAGTGATAGCCGATTGACGTTCCACTTCCAGTTTTGATAAGCCGGTAGACGTTGATAAGATTTGTCTTGCTATAATATTGCATTTTTGGAGGCTGTGGGGGAAGACTTTTCGTCCGTTTCCGTCGTTCTATGTCAAGCCCGTTGGCGGCCCACTGTCATCACTCTGCTGGAGTTGTAAACATTGGCCTTTGCTTCGCGCTGCGCCTTGCCCCGCGCCGCGGGTCATAATGACCCGGCCGACCCCCACTTGAGCCTCTTGAGGAACGTAGCGCAGCGCCCACAACCCGTAGTCTCTTACTTAAAGCTCAATCTGCACGGGGTGCTACATGCCCCTGCCCCGTCCACCTGACCATTGATCCCCCAGTCTCAAATTATAAATTTCAACCACAACACTCTGAAATATGAAAATGAGCTTGTTTCTGGCGAGTGCAGAAATTGCGAATTTTGAATGATGATGATGTGAATGATGATTCTAGCGCAATTTGCTAATTTCATGTTGAGTAAGACAGTCTACCAGTTTGCCTTTTTATTGAAGATTGCCGTTCAAGTTTTGGATATTGCCGATTTCATTTCAGTTTTGATAAGAAAATATTCAGTATTATTTTGATGCCTGAATTTAATAATACAAGTTCTTTGTCGTTGCACCCGAATACAATTTGAGTTTACTTTTGGAGCTGGACTGTCTTGTTACCGTCCGGCCGGCCAGTAGTTCCCTCCGAAAAAAGTTATTTCTTTTAATTTGCAATATAAGATTGCGAAGAATCTGTAGACCTTGTCTGGTCCTCCATGGAGGATCAGGACGCTTGGCGAGTAAGCAACACAGAGCCACCACTGTAGTGAGGATGCCTAGCCTCAAGGCGCTTTCGTTGGGCCAAAACCAGTTTTATTCTTTCTTAGCATTCCACGGAGGGCATTATTTTTTGCGCCAGTCTTCTACAGAAATTTGTGACTTTCTATCTGGTTGTCAAAACTTAACCTCGTGTTTGTAGATTTCAGGTATACCTGCAGTAAATCATTTTGGATTGCCCGTTTTGTCGCACAAGAGTTTAGCTTATGTCGGGTGTCGAGAGTTGTGGACATGCAAAATGGTTATGTATCTCACATTTCAAACCAATTCCATATAAGTATCTCTACAATGGGTTAGTTTAGTACGGTAGAAGTTACAGTCCTTACCAGTTAATAAGGTAGTCAAAACACAAAGAAATAGAAAACAAGACAAGAAGTAGGGCTTGGACACGAAAGTGACCCGTTCGCGAAGAATTGCTTCCCTAGTTGTGCACTGTTTGCTAGTAATCTAGGTACCTGTGCACGTGCACGTGTAAGTGTAACTCATCTGTTCTATCTTTTATGTACAAAAAATCGCGGGCTGGCTACAGAGAAGTTTTCCTTAGAAGAAGTTGTATAGTCAAATTCAAGATTGTAAATGTACACACACGAGTAAGAAGAGTTAGTTCCCCCAACCAAGTTATTGTTGATTTCCGGATTAGGGCTCTCACTTTTACCCGCATAACCGCCCGCCTCACCTGGGTAGGAACTGGGTGAACGGGTCTCACCGGGTACCCGGGTAGACCCGGCGGAACCGCGCCTGTAGTTAGGCAATTTTGCATACCGGGTCTACCTGGGTACCCGTTTACCCGGGTAACCCGCTACTCGGTAAGACCCTTCTTTACCCGGTTCCTACCCGGGCTACCCGGGTACCTGCGGGTCCGGTTTCTGAGAGCCCTATCCGGCGGATGACAAAACATTAAAATGGGTACGAGAACTAAATATGGTTCGGGTAACTGTATTATGATTCGTTTTGTAACCAGGGTTGTCTCCAAGGCAACCGCAGTTGAAGAATAAGCGATGCTTTGCCGTTTACAAAATGAGCTCATACGACTAGTCGTATATGGGCAAACTCCCACCGAGCCCCAACTCTTGCTCGTCATTCGATTCCATGCTGTCCCTGAAGTGACTGCCCGATAGTGCCTAATCTATTCCCTTTTGAGGGTCTGTTTCTGTTCAACCAAAGGCCCTCTTGTTGAGAAGCGCCTGCTAACCAGAGAAGTACAACCTCGACTTCCATGTCTATACATTGTTTGTCGTCGCTCTGAACGCATCAACGTCATCCCTCCTACGAATCTTCTAAATTCAATTGATTACCTGTAGCAATAACTTTACAGAGGTGGCACCGTGTCGAGTCTACATTCGCGGGGTATGGTGACAAGATGTATTGCCATGGTGTAGGAATTCACAATACTTCGAAGGAATAACGCGTTACTTTTGTAGTAAAATTTATTAGCACGAATGTAAAAAGTAACTTCAGTCACCTTACTTCGCGACATTTTCATGCATGTCGCTACAAAAAGTTTACACACTTTTAAAAATAGTTGTAACAAAACAAGCATTCTTGGAATGAGACAGCTGTAAATAAACAACGAGTGTTGTGCGCTATTCGGCTTATGTTGGACCCCAACAGTAACTAGTTGGTATCACTTTGCTGTAAATGTACAAGAAAAGTGGGGTTAATTTTATTAGAAAAACATTCCGTTTGAAAACAACACACTCGTAATATTTCCAGGAGCCAAACAAAAGTGATGGTTTTTGGTCTGAAACTTTGTTTTTGATATTTTTATCAATGTTGTTATTTTACAACTTGGGTTGTATTAAAACAACAGTTTAAAACAACAATTTTTTTACAGTACATGTCGCATTGAAAATGACAAAATGTGTTTGTGTCCCTTTCTTCCCTCCCTCCACCGTCACTTCCTCCACGTTTCTCCGCACTGAATTCTTTTCCCCCCGGAACGCACCTAGCTTGGAAGCGCTTGGAAGCGTGCCCGGGTCACGGCTGGTATCAACCAATATGTCAGATTGCCTCAGCCCCCTCCCCTCTTTTCCCTCCTTTCTCTGCTCCGTACTTCCCTCCGCTGGGAGCCCGACTCGCTCTCCCACGGGGCCTAGCTCGGCTCGGGGAAAGGCTACCAGCTCAATTAGCCAGCTGCCAGAAAGATACTAGAGTACACACGGAGATTCTGATGATACGGACCCACAACGTATGAAAGAAACATAAAATTACACATGTACAGCAGTTTTTTCGTTGCGGTTACGCTCCCTTGAGTGCTCAAGGCAACAGAGTGTTAACCTTTAAACAAATTCTGGTCAAACTAAGCTAGGGCCATAGTGCCCGGTATTGCCTCAGTAAAGACAAAGGGACACTTTTGTGCACCCAGAAAAATCGTTTCTTGTTTCTAGTAAATGTTTCCTCGTTTCAAGTGCACCCAGACCCAAGATCAAATTTACTCTTGAAATAAGCTGTTATTTTCTTTCGAATAAGATAAAAATCTTATTCCAAAGACGATATTGCCTTGTTACAATGGTAAATTTCATTTTTTGCCCGCGTGCGCCTGAATGAAGACACTATTTTTCTAGGTGTGCCTGTGGAGTTTTTCAAGACCCAACTCTTTTGTTCTGCTCCGTTGTGATAGTCCGCACAATATATTGTTTTTGTACAATTTATTGCGTCGCCAACACAATTTCTAATGTGACCATGTACTTTTCGGACAAAGCTGCAGCTATTGCTACGCAGGCAGGCATTCCTGCACGCTCACCCATTTGGAACGTCTTTCATTCACAGGGACATAGGGTGTATACTTCCCTTTCTCGCCCTCTCCTTTGGCTCTTTCCCCTCCCCTCCTGTTCCAGCAGCGCCACGTGCCAATGTATTCAAAAATAGAACAACCCGAAGAAGAACCTACGCAGCGTGGGAGAAGAGGACATCCGGAAAGAGATAAGGCGCGCTGTGGGTGGGGGCGTCCCCGAGCGGTAGCGGACGGCGTCGAGTGGAGCAGCACGAAAAGAGGGGCCTCCAGAAAGGCGTATCTATCTCCCAATCTCCCTTACCTATCTCCCCTCGCACCTCTGTAAATCACAAGGATTTTTGATTTCTGACCATAAGCGATCTCTCGAGGAGGAATTCTTGGCCCTTCATCCCTTCCCGTTTCATCCCGCAGCCATGCACCATTGCACCATGTGGAGCCCCAGCACCCTCGCATGGCAGACAAGGCGTCTATACATGGCGTGTCGCCCAGTTTGTCGCGGTGTGCGCCCGCCCGCCCCGCGCCCGCCTCAGGAGGCCTTGCGTGTCACCGCGCCGTGGCGCGCCACCTGTTACGTATTGGGTCCATCACACGCAGAGGAGCTTATGCTAACACTTTGTTACGGCCGGGTGACAAACGGTCTGCGTCATGCATCATCGCGCTGCACGGCGTGTGTGTCGCTGTAGTGAATGGGATATGATTTTGGGTGGGTAATGAATGTTGGAGGCAGAAGTCAAACGATGGCACAAGGAAGATCAGACAACCATTATAATATTGGCGAGGTTCACTGGCAGCATCTAGCTTGACGGGGGCGACTCTAATTTATTTAAAACTGTCAGGATTTATGGTCTTCCTCGGGGGGCATGAGTTTTCACTCTGTTTGCTGAGAGATGACACTCCGATTTTTCAGCAGTCTTCACTCTTGCCTTTTTTTTGTGTTTGTTTTGAGGGATGTATGACATTGCAGTACTCATGTGGTAATTGCCGTGTTTTTGACGTTATGTCGTGCTTACAGGTCGCTGCCCAAGCTCAGCAGCCAGGACGAGGATGGCCCGACCCACGGTGGACAGTTGACGAGCGTAGCACACTTCGAGCCCATCCCCCACGACCACGACTACTGTGAGCGAGTCGTTATCAACGTAAGTACCATAATTTATTGAATGAAAGTACGCACAACACTATTACACCAGTGTTGCTCTGTACCGTACAGGCCTGGGGTCCCGTGAGCTTTGCTAAAATTTCAATACTAAGAGTGCTACCAACTCGACATGAGTATCTTTAGAAAGATCAAAAACCAATCTAACATCCTACGTCGAGAAAAACACAATATCGTTCAAATAAGCAGTGGGTCAATTTTAAAAATTGTTCGCCATGGGACCCCACGCTCCCTTGCGCATAGGGGTACACAGGGAATAATAATCAGAGTAAAAGGAATTTGGCAAAAAGAGGTACACAGGAAAAAATCAACGTCGCGGTGCAAAAGACATGTTGGTCATGGCGACAGGTGACATTTTGCTAGCTCCAGAACATTCTGTTCCTAATCGCGCGACACCACTCTCTCCAGTCATGTAAACTTTTGGTTGGTAGGCCAAGTGCACATGCGAATTTATGTCTTGTTGTGGAAGTCTGCCCTCTTACTCACGACGACACAATTTGGCGCCAAAATTAACACCGTAATACTACTCTTTCTGTGCTTTTCTGCATGGAAAAGAAAGCAAAGGAGGCCGCGCCGCAAGCAGTGCCGTACTCCTTATTTGGAATGTAAACAAAAGCGTGATGTGGTCGCACACAACCGACCCACCACCCTTTACTTCTCCGTCACGCTTTGCTATCTGGTGATCGCGCGCGCCGTTGCCACGCTTTGCCACCTGCTAGCGTGGCAACGCCGCCGCGCACAGTTCAGCCAGGGGCAGGCTGAGGCCAGGCTGACTGGAGGGCTGCAGCCATGTCGACAACTGGGAGAAAGGCCGAAGGCCACCCTAGAGCCCGTCGAGAGTGAGAATCAGAGAGGGGGTTGTAAAAAGCTTTCCCCACGCTGGGACATTTTCCAGTTATTAGGTTCCTGGCACTAGCGCCCACCACTCCTTGTGCCAACCTGGCAAATTATCTATGTTCCTTGGCCACGTCCATTTCTCGTTTGGAGGGAGTTTTTTCTTCTCACTTATCTGGTTTCAGCCGTCGTGGTCACAGCTCCACAAAAGCCCACATAACGTTTCTGTTTTCCCACTTCATTGTTGATGACCCTTTAATTTTTATTTTCTTGTAATTTTTTTT